CGAAGATATTCAGGTGCTTATTTTGCAGTGTAAACTACAGCATGAGTTTCTAGATGATTTTAGGTGTAGAGTGGTAATCTTCGTCACACTGTTTTTGTTTTGTTCTTTGAAGTTCCCATGAATTATAGAAGCATAGCCAAAACACCATCAAACAGAAATTTCTAATTTGCACTGCTATCAACCCCACAAACCCTCTTAGGTTTTAGGTTCCCAGATAATCATCATGTTTCTAAACTCTTCAGGGATCCGCATGATACACAACATGCATTATTTCCTGTGATCTTATTGTAAGCTTCCCTGTAATTTTTCCTTTGATCCAGACTGGCTTTGGCAACATAGACGGGGAGTACTGGCTCGGCCTGGAAGCGATCTACAAGTTAGGGCGGCAGGGAGACTACAAGCTCATGGTAGAGATGGAGGACTGGATGGATAAAAAGGTCTACGCGCAGTACGACAGCTTCCACCTGGAGCCTGAGAGCGAGGGCTACCGCCTGAGGCTGGGTACCTACCAGGGCAACGCCGGGGATTCGCTCAGCAGCCACAACGGCAAACAGTTCACCACTCTGGACAGAGACAAGGACACCTTCTCAGGTGGCTCATCTTCAGCATTATTATTATCACTATTAAACCTTATCTAAATCATTGACACACACGTTTTTATCTATGAGATAAGACTGTAAAACGAAGGATTTTCCCTCTCAAAGTAATAATTTGAAACACTAGCTCCTATGTTTGAATCATCTTTCATAACTCTGAAAACTAGATTAAACAGTGGCATGTTTTTTTTTAAATACTTCACACTTTCAAAAACTTGACTTGAAAATCTTATAACCACAAAGGTGAGTTTAGTTAATTTTTTTAAATATTATTTTGTTTCATTCAATATCATTCTTATAAAAAGATAAAACTTTTTATTTAACTTTCTTAATTATAGAGCCTTTTTCGATGCACATGGAGTATAAAAAGTGCAATGTTAAAATATTGCAATCAAATAAAGTTTTTTGTATATAATAAGACATTTTTATGACATAAACAGATATTTTCCTTGGCTTTATAAAGCTATTTAAGAACAGTTAGTTTCACGCATGTATTCAACCTGCACAGATCTTTGTAAATGACCCTAAGACTGCCTTCTAATACATAATGTACATTTTTGAAAATTTTTTCTTTTTCATAAAAAAAGATTTTTAACTGATCGCGAAATCTCTGTTTAGTATAAGAGGATTTTTTTCTCAGATTGTTTGATAGAAAAGGTGTCAACTTCTGCTAACATTAATGTTTAAGACTTCTGTGCACTTAAGTAGCTACTTCTTATGCAGAAAGATTCAGGAATCCAAAGATTATATAGAGAGACTATAACTTTCAGCTATTTAGTTTCATTCCAAGCAAGTATCCTGAAATTCTGGGCTTATACTAACAGATTAGTGGGGATTTTTGATAGTTTTTCCAAACTTTAAAGGTTAGATTTTATTTTATTGACAAGCTGCACCTACGTTGGAATTTGACAATTCATTACATATTAACAATGTAGCCTTAAAGCATTTATTTAGCTTGAGGCACAAATTATCATGCAAATATGTTGACATGTGCAAAACCATAGATGTTGCTACTGTTGGAATAATGCAGAATGATCATAGCCCCATGTTTCAGATTTTGCAAATACATTTCAGACAAACATCTCTGACTTCCTAGCTTGCCATCAACAAAAAATAGCTTATATATATTTTGTAAAATATAAAAAGTCAGAAATATTTGGGTTTTTTTTGGCTTCATATCATAACAAGATATTCAAACTTGATCAATATAGCAGTAAAACAGGTTTAGATGGGTGTAGTGTAATAGAAACTCCAAGATAGGATTACCAATTAGACCTACTGAGTCAAAATGCTGTGACCTTGGCTACAGCAACATAAGATGGTAGGCGGAACTTAAT